ATTAATCTTGTGCGGGTTGTGGTTATGTTCTACAGGACATGATGAAGACATTGGTTATTTTACCACGGGTTTGGCTTTTCCAGAGGTCTTAAGACTGCATTAAGGAATTAAGGTTGACTTTATAAGGCCAGTCAAAAAGCCCTTTGGAAAAACTGGCCAGATACCCATCAATAACGTTTCTGTGATAAGTAACAAAGGCAACTTTCTGACAGGCCCGGGAATCAAAATGTACTTGGAGACCTCAGGAAAAGAGAAATTTACCCAATACATACAGGTATCTAATGGCACAGATGAAACCTGAGCTCATGAAAAGTTTCCAAGTCTTAACCTGAGATTTCTTATAAAAGGTTCCAGCAAAGCCAATTTTAAAGGGAAGGAGAGGCTCGGCGCCTGTGGCTCAAGCAGCTAAGGCACCAGCCACATACACCTGAACTGGTGGGTTCGAATCCAGCCCGGGTCCACCAAACAACAATGACAGCTACAACCAAAAAATAGCCAGGCTTTGTGGCAGGCACTTGTAGTCCCAGCTACTTGGGAGATGGAGGCAGGAGAATTGCTTGAGCCCAGGAGTTGGAGGTTGCTGTGAGCTGTGATGCCATGGAACTCTACCCAGGGCAACAACTTGAGGCTCTGTCTCAAAAAATAAATAAATGAATGAATGTATAAAGGGAACAAGAGTGTAGATGGCTAATAATTAATTATTCTTGCTGCACTTTATGCAAATAATCAGACCCAGTATACTACAGGTACAGTTTATTTTTGCAACTGAGTTGATTCTGCTGTAATTTGTCTTTAGTGGAAAGAGAAATTGGAGAGAGAGAAATGATTTTAAAAAAGAGAGCGAGAGAGAGAGGCTGTGGCCCACTTATATTAAATCCCAGCCTTGTCTGTACTGTCAACTCATAAAACAAGACATAACTGTTTTACTAAACTGATCTGTTAAATGGGGACTAAGAAACTAGCCAAAGAGTATAGAATTATACATAGTAGTTATATTTACTCTAAAACCTTAAGACGCAATAAAGGTTGCCTGTTAACTATATTAGAAAAATTTGTGCAGTATTAAATATTATCTGCTATGTCTATATAGATACCTCAGGAAAAATTGGAATGAAAATTTCCCAATAAATAGTATAACTGTAACATAACCTCATAAGTGGTCCCACACTCAAATGATGTTCAGGAATATTCACTTGCATTGTCCAGAACTTTAGATCAGTTCTGTAGGAACTCTTAAAACTATTATCTTAAGAACTATATTAAATCTGTAAGTAAAAATACTAATGTTCTCATTGTAGCCTTGAAACCTAGTACTTATAAATACTTGTAAATAACTGCTAAATGGTTTCATTCTCTTATGCTGAACCCAAACTTGACTTTGTCCCTGTCAGTGTAAGGGAGTCAGAAAGCCACAAACATATGCAAGGTGGCTGAAGTTATGCAAAAGCCAGATGAGAGTCCTGAGAAATTCTGTAAAAGACTGTGTAAAACATATAAACTGCCAAAGCATTATATAAAGTTTCTGAGAAGGAAAAGACTGAACTAAACAGACAGAAGCCCTAGGAAGAGAAACAAAGAAGATCCCCACTTAAGTAGTTAATCGTGTTCTAGTTAGTCTTTTATGTCTATGCACCCTTTCTTTCCAAAGAATCAAGTCTAGGTCAAAGATTGGAACCATTTCCCCTTAAACCAAGAACCCTACGCCATCATCCAGACCACACCCACAACATTGAAGATAAAAGAAATCATAACCTAGGGGTGGCACCTGTGGCTCAGTGAGTAGGGCGCCGGCCCCATATACCAAGGGTGGCGGAGAAAATGCCTCCAACTATTAGAAACTCAGGAAGAAAAAAATAAATCATTGTTCCAGTAGACACGGGTCACCCACTTTGAAGTAAGAGAGAACTGTTTATTTGTAGGGACCCTGTGACTGTCCACCATCAGCATTCATTTCATAATCACTCTTAGAGCACCTACTGTATACCAGGCTCCAGACGTTCAGGGAGGTAGCAGTAAGCACAAAGAGACTCCTGAGCTGAGTCCCCAAAGCACAGAGACCCAGGAGAGCTCATTAATTACCATATATAGGCCAGGGTGAAGCAGAGCAGGGTGGGAGATGGGGCTGGAGGAAAAAAATTGTAGGACATGGCAGGGTCCCAGTATAGAATGGTAACTGTGACAAAACAATCTACCTGTATCACAAATGGCTCCACGTGCTTGATTTTGCACACTGAATCTAGTACAGCTTTGGTTGAGTTTTTGTCTTATTCCAGGGGTCGGTCTAGGGAAGATAATTTTATGATGATTTCTCAGAGCCCAGACAGGAGGCCCTGCTGGAAAAGAGGGTACTTCTGAGAGCCCACAGGGAACTTCCTCAGGCTGTGTGGGAGCAGTTCATGCCACAGTTGGAGCCTGGGGCTCTGCCAACAGGCAATGGCCATGTGGCTGCCATTGTCAAAGTGCTGCTCAGTTTGGGCAAAGGCTTCATCCTTTGCCCCTAAGAGAGAAGGGAATCTGAGCATGGCTGCAGGCAACCAAAAGGTCTACAGAAGTCTGCCCTCCTTGCTACTACACTGGGCCAACGGGAATATTGAATTGAACAAGACACCAATTTATCAGAAGTAGCACAAATCCAATGTAGTCTTTAAACCAGATATACATTGATGCTTCTAGAATGCTGTAACATGTCTCTACCCCACAGACATGTAAATATCCTCTTGGTTTATTTGGGGTCATGCTTTTCGATCCAGAGCCATTTCTTGCTTTTGGGTGAAGAATGTTGGGAGTCTCTAGTAAGAGAACCTTAGAATTTGGTGGCAAGGAAAAAATAAAGTGAAAATCAAAAATTGGTAGAGGAGAGGATGGGAATCGTTATGCCGCATATGACTCAGGGTCTTTCCTCAATGGCAAGGTCACTCACGGGTTTGTTTACACAGAGTCAGTGAAGCTTTAGACCTCTATGCAGGGTGGTCTGTGGAGTCTTCTGTGCTGGAGAGAGGACCGGATGGACATCTATGGTTTCTGGCTTTTGATCCCATGATAGCAGCTCTATAGTACAGAACTGCACCTCCAGGGTAGCTGAGGCAGTCCAGGTAAGCCACTTCTTGAAAGCTTGGGATATGAGGCCTTGGCATAGTGTGAGTCTTCCCATATGTTCTCATGGATAGGTATGCTCCCCTTGGTAATTTGTCTTGTTAGGGCAAAATAATACATTGACAACTAGTTTGTTTATTAGTGTCCTGATACCTAGGCTAATCAGTTCCCACAGCCTGGTAATTTCTCAGGGAACTTCTACAGTTGAATACAGTTCAGCTCAGGACCTCACCAACGTAGCATCTGCTCTTAAGACTCTAGACTCCAAACAGCCTGTCTGGCCTCTGTCTATGAAGCTCTTGCAAGGGCAAGGGTGCTTGTTCATCAAGTGTCTGAACTGACAAGGCATCTCCCTCTTGATGCCTGTTCAGAGCAAGGCCACTTGCTGGCCAACCTGGCCACTGGCAAGTACCTCTTTCTAGGACAGTGTGGGCTGTGGGTTCAGTTAGATTCCGAATTGCATCTCTGCTTCTCCACCCTTCCTAGGTGGGTGGCTCAGGGCATGTTATACGAGCTTCTCTGTGACTTATCTCCTCTTCTGTATTTGGATGTTCATTGGAACCTTGTCAGGTTAGACTTTGGACTTCACCAGGAGGATGGGCAGAGATGCTGGACTAAAGTGTTGGGACAGGGTCCTGTACTTCAGCAGATGAAAATGTGATTTGGGTTACACATCCTTAAAACCAGATCAGATAATAATATCCATTTACTGGTGTGTGTGCCCTTTTTTCACAAGAAAAGTTATACATCATGGCAAACTATGACTATTACAGTTGTGATCCTCTCAAGGAACTCTTGGGGCTAACCAGCATAAAATTGTCATTCGTGAAACTCTACTATTGCAACAAAGTATGACTATTAACCATAATGATACCAGACTAATGTTTAAGGCATTGCTGTGCTCATGAAAGACTCTTAAATGTGCCAGAAGTGAAGATGGTAAACTAGCTAACCTGCCATGAGCTTGTCTTGCATATGGATTCCAAAAGTAAACAGAATCCTTCATGAGGTCAGCATTCAAAGGTGTGCCAGAGAGCAACAGCATTCTTTGAGCTCCTAGCTTGTTCCAGGCAGTGTGTTATGTACACTCTTATCAAATCTTGCCAACACGTTTGGAAAATAGGTTTTACCATCTACGTGTTGCTGAGGAGAAAAACTGAAGCTCAAAGATGTTGACTTGCCCAAGGAAGGTGAACTTGACACTTAAAAATAAGATGGCCTGGATTGGAGAAAGCGGTCAGGTGGGAGGTAATAACAAAGCCTAGGCAGGAGCCAAGGAGTCCCTGAACTAGGTTAGAAGAGTGAGGATGACTTCTACATCTTCAGTTTAGACATTCCCTGTGAATATGCCTGTAGCTAACGGAGACTGGGAAGCCATAATAGGAAGGTGCCGGGAGGGGAAACGACTTTGGTGCAAGGTAACCTAAGTTTAGAATGGCCAGCACATCTCGACGTGCTGGACTGGGACTTGGGGGGATGTTAAGAAGCAAACTTTGGAGTCACTGACAAGTGAAGCTTGGGATTAGATCTCCAAAATGCAACGTCTCAATCCTTGCTCCGACCCACCCCAGGCTCAGTCGTCATCGGAGAAAACCTCTAGAAGTCAGAGTGGGCCAAGGTGACGGGTGTCTGCGAAGACCCCACTGCCGGACTCCTGGGCGGCGCGCTCCCTCCCTGTAGGCCCTCATCCACTGAGAGTCTTTACGCGGCTCTTCGCCTCTTTCCCCAGCGTCCCACAGGTCTCCTAGTCTCAACCCCCCTGCACTGTCTCCTCGGCCCGCCGTGTGGGGAATAAGGGCTGGGTGCCCCCGGGAGCGGCGATCTCGGGGCGGGGCTCAGGACGCATGCGCGGCTGCTGTACGGAAGCCTAGAAGGAGAGGCGGGGGGCGGTGGCTCAGGTTCCTCGGGGTGGCGGCGGCGGCGGAGACGCGGCTTGCTCTGGCGCCATGAACTGGCTGTAACACGCAGGCTGCGCGGCGCGGGGGGCGGGGGGAGGAGGACGCAGCGGTGAAGTTCTCCGCCATGAACCTGAGGGGCCTCTTCCAGGATTTCAACCCGAGGTGAGGAGGTGGCAGCGCCCCCGGAGTCCGCGCCGCGGCTCGGACGCGGGCGGGTGGGGGGCTCCGGGGAGGCGGGGCGGGCGTGATGCTGCAGCTGGAGGAGCCGGGCGCTTGCCTGACCCTCCCTGCGGGTGCGAACGACTCTCCGGGAAAGCAGTCAGCCTCAGCGCCCGCTGCTTCCTTCCCCCAAGCCCAGTGCCTCCTTCAGTTCCTGGCTCCACCGCGCCAGCTGGACCCGCCGGGCCATGGCCTGAGGCTCCCGGCCGCCAGGTCCTGTCCCACGGAATCCCATTCCTCTCTGCTCGCTCCTCGTCGTTAGTATCCCAAGTTCGCCCTCTCTGTTCTGTCTTCTTCCAGCCCTCTGCCTGCCCTGCATCCTCCGCGCCCCGGGACCATCTCACTTGACCCAACACCACTACCCTCCACATCCCAGCTGTTTCCTCCACTTCCTCTCAGCTCTGAGGTTTTACTTGGATTTATGCCCATCCGTTCTTTTGCTGTCCTCTTTGTTGAACTGGTATCTAAAACATTGTTGAATCCTTGGAGTCGGTGTCAGGGTATGGCAGTACCTTACATAATGCCTTTGGGGGGTGAACCTGATCATTTTCCACACTCATTTTCTCATCAGGCTTCACTATAAGTTTATTTGCAGGAAGTAAATATTACTGTCCTTTTCCAAATGGGGAGCACCCAGTGGACAGTGTGGAGAAAACACTGGCTAAGGAATCAAGTGTCTGTCCTTGCATTTGCCCAACTGTTTTGTAACTGTTTCCTTCCCTGGCTGTGAGTTCTCAGAAACTGACACCATCTCCTCATCTTACTGTCCCCGATCACTGCCTGCCCACCATGACTGGAACATAGTAGGCACTTATAAAATATGGCGATATACTGAGCTGTAGGACCTGGATCAGAGAGCAGGTCATATGTAACTGGATGATTTTCAGCCCTTCTGTAAAATAAGGGGTTGACCTAACTAATCTCTTAAGTGCATTACTCTATGAAAGGGCTATCTACTTTCCTTATTTGCTAATGGGAAGTGGAGCACTCAATAAACCATTTTGTGCTTAGTGCTTAAGTCCTGTGCTAGGTGCTTCAGATGCTGGGTCTTAACTTAAGGGTGAAGAAGGGCATGTGAATTTTGGATGACTTACAGTACTGACCAGTACTGCATTGTGGGAGACCAGCAGAGTCCGTTCTTTTGGCTGTTCCTTGGGGACGAAAAGAAGTCTTAGGAGTGTATGTTCTGGGTGCAGTCTCCTTAGGGATGGTGACAAATTAAGCTGTGAGCTGCTATGACTCTGTGACTTCCTAGGTACTCTTAGTCTCCTTCAAGTTCATATTCTGGTGTGGAGTCATAGTGTCCCTGTCATACTGTAGTCATTGTTGGCCTTGAAGGCACAGAGGAGCTACTTTGCAGTAGGTAACTGAACTAACTGTAAGGCCTTCCCTCTGCCACTCCTAAGGGTTTAGATTGGTGTGCAAGGCAGCAGGGTTTGTACTGGAGCTGGACAGTGCCTTGTGTGTCTCTATTGTTTGGAGCAGGTGATAACAAAGATAAGTAAAAGCTGAATTGTTTTGTGCTCTTAGACAACTCATTTATCTGTCTGTTTTATCTGTAGAATGAATATAATCTCTCAGCTAAATAAGGAGGCTGAATTAATGATTGATTACAAAGTGCTTTACAAATAGAAAACTCCAAGACTTGTTTGCAAGGTGACAGATAATTCAGAAGCCACAAAAAATTGCCTTAAGTGATCAAACAGGCTAACAACTGCCAAAGCAAAGTAGACCTGCACTTGATAATGCCCTTAACCATTTTTTTCCTTTAGCATATTTTTTCCTAAAAAAATAGCATATGAAAATTATAATAAAATACTATGTATCTAAACAGATTTATCATAACCGTTAACATAGTTATCAGTACCTTAATTTAGATTAAAATACATCTCTACCTGAAAAGTTTAAAGGTATTTTATTCTGTGCCATTTTTCTGATTCAGTGTTGTCAGCAGCATTATCTTATAGGTAATTCAAGAAGACATTGACCAGATATTATTGGTAGATTTTATTTTAGCAGGTGGTATTTCTTGTTTCTTGGGCTCACCTAGTTTTTCACATGTGCTTTAGTCTTGTTCCATGCTTGGGAGGGCCTTGCAGACAGGTAGGGGGCAAACTGAGGGGTCCAGATAGGAAGACACCTCATGCTGGGTCCTCAAAACTTACTGCTCCTGCCTGCTCCCTTGCCAGGAATTCTGAGCCAATTCAACACCTCTCTCCTTCTCCAAGACCTTGGCACATACTGTTGTCTGTGCCAAGAATATTTCCCTTCTCTCTTTTCTTTTCCTGACCTACTTAACTCCTGTTTATCTTTGAGCTCTCAGATTACTTGGTACTTGCTCAGGGAAGCTTTCCTGATTTTTGTGGCCAGATCCTTGTTTGTACAGTTGCCGCCGTCCACTACACTCCTCTATCATAGGTACTTACTTGTACCCTTGCATTTGTCTATGTGCCTATTTGATTAATACCTGCCTCTTCTACTACACTTTAATCTCCATGGAGTCAAGGCCAGGAGTCTGTAATTATTATAGCTTACATCCCTGAAATAGTATCTGGCTCAATAAATATTTGTGGAATGAATGAATGAGTAGTTCTCTAGAGCTGGAAGAGAAATCTAGAGCTGCTGCTTTCCTGTTGTCTGCCACCTGGTTTTCTTTCCTCTCACCCTCTTCCCACCTTTAGTGTATAGCCATCCCATTGGAGAGATGAGAAAGACCATGACGCTTGCAGAATGTGGCTGCCTTTACTTTTTAGTTTATGTCTGTGTCACAGAAAACATTATCATAGTTTTGTGGGTCCCAAAGTGTGGGCCATGACTCCAAATTGCCTTTCTAATTTTTCAGTCCTGGTGAGTCTGAACCCACTGCTGTGCTGGCAGAGCTCTGGAAATTGCAACGACAGAGAATGATTCACAAGTGTCAACACTCAGATGTGCAGAGCTGCCAGCTGACCCTCTGCCTATTTCCATCTGGCAAGGAACTAGTTGATCATGAACTTCTTTTCATAATTTCTCTTTAGTCACACAGGTTAAGGCATGCTGAAACAGACGTACTGGACCCAGAAACAAGTTCTTCCTTGAATGCCTGAGGCTTCCTAACAGCAAGGGAGTCCTATTCATACTGGGAGGTTGGGATCTGGGAGTAGGTGGCATTAAGTGGGCACGCTGCCCATATACCACAGAGCCTCGGGATTTTCTGTTACTGTGGTGGAGGTGCTGGCTCAGAGAAGGCCCTTCACCCTGGTAGCCAGGCAGTGCTGGAAGACTATGAAAATACTGATGGGCATTCTGATTCATCCACAGTGAGCTCCTCATGCAAATGGGGTACGTCCATCAGGTGTGCTAGACTATGAAAAAGGCTGAGAGACAATGCTGTGGGGATTATGTCATGTGGGCTTGGGATACTGATGAGATCAGTGGTGTTTAGAAACTTGAATATGATTGTTGGTAATAGTTTGCTAATGGTGGTTACATGGCCTTTAGCAGTCGTTTGCAAATTCTCTTTAAATTTCATTAAAAATCTCCTGGGTTCCTACTGTGTGCTAAGATATTTGGTGGGTGCTCTAACTCCAAAAAAAAAAAAAAATAGAATATAGCTCTTCTCTCGGTGCTCAAGCCTAGTAGAAGAAGCACAAATGGTAATATAAATTAAAATTCAGCAGAATATAAGGCATTTCAGAGACAGGAACCAAATGCTTTGGGAATACAAAGGGCAGAGCCACTAATTCTGTCTAGAGCCAGCAGGGAAGATTCCATAGTAGGAGTGACTTCTGAGCTAAATTTTGAAGGATAATTGTAGGCTTTTTGTCAGATTAGAAGGCAGTAAAGGCATTTTAGAAAGGCATGGTAGGGCCTGGTATGTTCAGACAGTAGTAAGGAGGTCAGTGTGGCAGGAGCACTGCAGATGACCAGATATGATTTTAAAATACATAGTGTTAGTTCCTACAAATATTCTTTACACATTATTTTTTTTCAAAACAATAATCCATCAGTATGAGTGTATTGTACTTAATACTCACTACCCAAGTGACTATTTGCTGTTCTGTCATAGCAAGCCACCAATAGTCTGAAAATTGTCTTGATTTGACTGAGGTTATTAATAATAGGAATAACATATTGGGTACTTAAATGTGCCAGGCACAAGGTAAGTGCTTTGCATTCATTACCCCTCATCTTTACAAAAACACTGCAAGTTAGATGAGCCTTGTTTTGGAGTCTTAGAGAGCCTGTTGTGACTTTCCTAAAGTTGTACAAGGAGTAGGAGACCAAGTCAGGATTCTAATCCAGCTCAGTTTCCTGAAGTATGTGTTCTTTCGTACATACTTTGCTACATCTCTAGTTTAGTGAGAACTTTTTTCTCCCATGATATAGGAGATCTAATATACAAGGAGCCTTCTATTTATGTGTTGGAAGTTATTAAATGAAGCAAACCTTATATTGGACCTTGTACATTCACATGAATATTATTGTTCAAAGAAGTTATATGGGGAAAAGAGAATATAATTTTACCTATTCCATTGCTCACATTCCTTGTTACCCATCTGGAATTCCATTTAAAGTCAGTTTACAAATCATATAAGAAACCCCATCTTATTATATTCATATATCATTTTAAATCAAAATAGTTCTACCTAGTTTGATCACACATCTTATTCACTAAACTTGGCTCTGACTGACTTTTGGCTATTTCTAAAAATTGAATCCACACTCAGTGAAGATTTGGCATCATTTAGGATATTTAAAAGAACAAACTGCAGGGTTTCAAGGTGCTTCCAAGAGGAAATCTCCAGAGATGGTTTGAGCGATAAAGTGTCATTGGAATTAGTGCATTGCCTCTGAAGGGGACTGGTTAAAGGAGACAAGTCTCATTTGAACGCATAATTTATAGTTTTAAAAATATCATTCCCATTACTTAGTAATTACACAAACATTTTTCTTGGCTGTGA